AATTTTTAATGTTTATTTATTTTTGAGAGAGACAGAGCATGAGCCGGGGAGGGGCAGAGAGAGAAAGAGACACAGAATCTGAAGCAGGCTCCAGGCTCTGAGCTGTCAGCACACAGCCCAACGTGGGGCTCAATCAAACTCACGGGCAGCGAGATCGTAATCCGAGCCGAAGTCGGATACTTAGCTGACTAAGCCACCCAGGCACCCCTCTTTAAAAACTTCTGAATAGTTACTTTTCTTCTTGGATTAGTCCACCAAGTGAGCCCTATCTATCACCAAGTGAGTCCACCAAGTTATCATAAAGAGAGGCTTTCCTAGCCTCCCCACTGCCCACTACAAGCTTGATAAAACAATTCTATCCCCCTCTTTATGCTCTTTGGTTTTACTCTGAGTTCTTATGGTCCCCTGAGACTTCTCCTCCATAGTGCCATTCCACAGTAATACATCATAAACTTCCTATAACAGAGGATGAATACAGTATGGAATAATTTCCATCAGGTTTTAGGTCATATAGTATACAGAGTAAAAAACAAAAAATTAGTTGGCACGAAATAACATTGCTTTCATGGTGATTCATAACCAGTTTCATAAGCATATTCTTACGGGCAAAAGAAGTTGAGATATGAATAAAGATGAACTTTACCCCTTCGTCCTGTGAAAGAGGATTATTGATCATCAAATCTTGCTGGCCAACAACCTTTCTCGGGTTTGTGATGTGCTGGCAAAGAAAAAAAGAAAACACAAAGATCAGAGTTGGACTGACCTGGACTTGAAAGCATACATAAGAAAACAATTATATTAATTAAAGTACAACTTACTATTTCTTTAACGTTGCTATACCATGCTCTTAATTCTTTAATTCTACTTATCCACTGACTTTTATCTTGAGGAAGAACACAAAGAAATAGCTGTCGAGAAAAAAAAAAAAAGGAAACTTTTGTAAAAATCATAACAAGTAACATGTAAAACTATGCCAAACAGAGTCACCTGAAAACTGAAAGAGATATTCATATTCATTGTATTTCATATTCATATCATTCCAATTCCCAATAAAGTATATTTGGGAATGTTTAAGAAATATACATATTTGGATAATTTAAAAAGTGAACAAAGGCCAAAAAAACAAGATCACAAAAGCTACACCACAAAATTCAATCAACCTCCCCTCCAAATTTATATTAAAAATGAACAAGAAGAATTCATTGAGGTTCAAGTATAATTCCCATTTTAAATTCTTATGTTAATGGGCTATTGACAGACACAAAGTCCCATCATCAATCTCAAGGCTTAAGATTTGTCTTAAAACAGGCAGGTAAAGGACAGAGAAGAAACACCTGAGGGCACAGCTTGAGAAATGAAGTGATTCCTTTTACAGCAGAAATGGAATCTGCAACTGGCAATCAGCATATGAAAATAACAAGCATTCTTAAAAAGACAAATTTGATTTAATTTAAATACAACATTAAAATAAATCTAGATTTGAGTTTATTTTTAGCAAACGAATGATACTGAAAGTTAAACAACAAGGAATGGGGGGTGGGGCGCAAATATTTGTATACAAATATTCTAGCAGCAGGTCTCCTGCCTTTACTGCCTGCATCTAACAGAAGAAAAATGTATTTTAATTATTAAATCTAAATTATTAAATCTAAAACTGTCTAATACATCATGTGTTTCTTACTGTCTTTACTTGCACAGACTCTGTACGCTTAATTTATGCAGATAAAACCTAAAAAACTTTCAGTAGAAGTCATTTCAGAAATAACTCTAAACCTGCATTAATTCATTTTGAGAGAACAAAAAGGGACAATATTTCCAAGTAATTAAAAAGAGAACTACAGATTATTACTAGTTTTGGTAATCAGTGGCCCTTTCTCTTAAAAGACTGACCTAATTTTCTTCTACTTCTCTTTCTTGCTGCCCTTTGCTTTGTGTTTCTAGGAAAGAAACGAAAGGAAAGAAAGAGAGAAAGAGGAAAAATCTTTTCCATCTGCTGCTTCTGAAGTGAAAAGGGAAGGTGCCTCAATGAAGGCAGGCACTGGATACAACAGGAACCTGAAAGTAAAACCGCCTCTACTCCTGCCCACCTTCAAGGACGTCTGCCAAAACCTCTGGGGAATGCAAAGGTGTTGCTTTGAATTCCACACCATCAAATGAGATGAAAGAATAGTTATTTCAAATGACTCCTTTACCGTACCAGTTATTCGAGACTAAGGTGGTTCAACCTTATTAGTAAATGTCCTATGAAAGATAAACATGGATGGCCAAAAAATCGAGAGTGAAGTCTCCTGGAAAATTCAGTGATCCCCTGCATGGGTAATCTCCCAGGGCATCAGGTAATGTGTTGATATACTGCAACCACAAACTGTAAATAAATATTTTCTTCTTACCTTCCAGCAAATGCTGCGGAACCTGCTGCTTCTCAGCTGCCCATTAATCCCCTTCTGCCTTATTGTTGCCAAGTAATTGTTGTTTACAAATAGTTCTTCCCATTCTTTCCTATATGCAAGAAACCAAAAGCATGGGGATCCCTTTGTTAAAATTCTCTGCTTGGAGAGGAGTGCTACAGGAAATTAATTTTAAATAAGTCTAAGAAATGCAACTTTTAAAACGTATATATTTAGTTGTGTACTGTTTCTGAATGCATGGCTGTCTTTTTGGACACAGTTCTTCTGTAGATTTAATGAATATGTAGATCGCTATAATTATGCCAGCTACTGAAATTCATAATGTCTATGGAGGCTATTCCATTTCGTCTAAAATGTTGGTAGTGCAGTTCAGTGAAACAAGAAAAAAATGAATATTAATATAAATATATGACGGCTTTAGCCACTGACAAAGATATACCTGCTCCAAAAATACACAACACAAAGGGTAGTGTTGATTATATTGGCTTCTCACATGAAATATCTGTTTAAATGAACCCATTTCTCTTTAGTGTCAGGCTGGGGAGTTAAATATAATCGAAGACTACTTTCTTTAACTTTTAGTGCTATTTACTATTGAAATCTCTGCAACTTCTTTCTACATGATCAGTTTTAAAATTTTAACAGGTGCAGGCAAATTTGAAAAAAAACATCAAAAAATTAAAAAGCCTCACTGTAAAAACTGTTAAAGGCAAGCTTGAGTACCTTGCAGTACCTATGGCTGAGTAGATAAACAACTGAAATATGCCTCCCAGGCACGCAGACACCAGGGGCCTAACACCTGTGCCTCATTAATATACAAGTAAATCTGCTCTACTGGGAAACAATTGGAAATTAATTGTCCCAAACCATTTACTGAGTTTGAATAAAGAAAGTAGACCTAAATTCCTTGCATCTTGTACCAAGCTAAACATCAAGAACCATTCGTCAACAGTTGAGGCTACTGAGCACAGATTTATGAAATTTCTGAGTTCATAATGCCACAACATACTTACAATTTAAATTTTATTATCAAAGCTGAAACCCTGGCAAGCTCTTCAGTGCGACTTCCTCAAAAGAAAGCCTTTACAAGCCTCCATCAGCCTCCTATACGTGCAACTGTCACTGGCCAGACCCTACTCGTTTTGAGAAAGGACAGCCTTGACACCATGCTCTTTGGGCCAGTAATGCAACCTACTGCACACCTACAGTTAAAAATAACAAACCTGACTGTGCAGTATCTTGGGGCGCCTGGGTGGCGCAGTCGGTTAAGCGTCCGACTTCAGCCAGGTCACGATCTCGCGGTCCGTGAGTTCGAGCCCCGCGTCGGGCTCTGGGCTGATGGCTCAGAGCCTGGAGCCTATTTCCGATTCTGTGTCTCCCTCTCTCTCTGCCTCTGCCCCTCCCCCGTTCATGCTCTGTCTCTCTCTGTCCCCAAAATAAATAAACGTTGAAAAAAAAAATTTAAAAAAAAAATAAAAATAACAAACCTGACTGTGCAGTATCTTCTGCAGAGTTTTCCAGAAGAGTGACCAAGGCAATGACACCTTCCTAACTGCCTCAAACAGGAGACTTTCCAGTTCAGCCCTGCAGCATTGCTTCCCGCCACCCGCCCCCACCCGCCTTCTGCCAGGAAGGGCTAGTGGCTAAGGACACCAGATGAGATAAGCACTCCAACCCCATACTGGAAGAAATGCATTCCTACCACCATTCCGTGAAAATGTCTTACTCTCAACATTCCATTCGTAAGAGAAAGTCATGTTTCATTTTTATTTTAATGTGCATTTGTATCATTAGTGAAAGTGAAAATCTGTCATGCTTTTGAGTCACTTTATTTCTTTTTAAAAACTTCCCTTCTTGTCCTTTGCCTATTTTAAGCACCATAGGAGAGTGGTTAAGAGAATGGATTGCAGGGGCATCTGGGTAGCTTAGTGACTTCGGCTCAGGTTACGATCTCACAGTTTGTGGGTTCAAGCCCCGCATGGGGCCCTGCGCTGACAGCTCAGAGCCTGGGACCTGCTTTGGATTCTGTATCTCCCTCTCTCTCTCCGCCCCTCCCTGGCTCACTCTCTCTCTCTCTCTCAAAAATAAGTAAATTAAAAAAAAAAAAGAGAACGGATTGCAGAACCACACTCATGGGATAAAAAGAAAGCCATGCATTCACAGAAACAGTACACAATTTACTAGCTACTCACTAGCTATGCAAGCATGGCCAAGTTACTTAACCTCCCTGTGCCTCTGTTTCCTCATCTGTAAAATGAAATAATAGCCTACCTCAAAGAATTATTATGAGGACTAAAATGCATGGCAAGCCCTCAGAAGCATGTCCAGCATATCACATTTTTTAAAATAAATATTAGTGTTCATAATAATTGTAACATTGTTTTTATTTTAGTGTGCCTCATTATAGGTCCAAGGGAGGAGTTATTCATGTTAAAAATACCACAGCTTTGTCTGCCACACATATTTTTAACCCAATTTCTTGATTTTCAACACAGTGAAACTTTCAATTTGTGTACTAATTTAAACCTAACATTTTTTTCTCTTGATGCTCTTTCTACTGTTTTCATGCTTAATTCTTAGCCACTCCAAGTTCAAAGAAATGTTTACTGAAATCTTTATTTTTATGACACTAGTCCATTTGTAATACCTATAATTTTTTAAAATATATTGTCCATTTCCCAACAATGTCATCATATATTATCCACATCTCACATTCAAGTTTTGTTTTTATCCAGTTTTAGTAATACTCAAAGATGAGATAAGCAATGAGTACTTCTCAGAAAATGTATGTCTAAATAGCTTGTGGTCTGCAAGCAAAAAGCCCAGATTTTAAACGCATTCTGAACCCAAGAGGAATCAAAATACGTGCAAGACCATGCAGTTCCATGGCCTGAAATCACCAATACGTTCCAGATGAGAGGGAAGTGTGAGGCAACTTCCCCAGCCTCTCCCCAAATCAGCTCCTATTCACAGGTACCAAGACAGTGCGAAAGTAGACACAGCTGGGGGCTAGATTCATTGCCATCTTGTCAAGTTAAGCAGCCTTTTAAGGTCAAGTTACATACTACTTATGTAATGAAGGATAATTATTTGTTAGCTTAAATAAGACCCTAGGCCTTGATTACAGTGCTGGTAAAGAGAAAAGGAGACTGAGGCATGTGAAATGGAAACATTATCTTTGGAATTCACAATCATTTAAATTTATTCATGGTACTTATAGTTCCAATTAAGGCTTAACACCTCAAACTGATGACTAGCCCTAACAACAGAGGAACTTATAGAGGCCACAAGATAACTTATTGTCTTTCTCCTCTATGGAATAGTGTTTTATTAATAAACAGTGATACAGAGTAATAATAAACACAATAAACATTTAGTGCCTACTATGTGCTTAGCACTCACAGACATCAGAAAAAGCATTAAGTTATGTAAACCAGTAATAATATGGTTAAGGCAAAGCACTCTGGTAGTACAGAGAGGGCAGAAATAGTTTTACAGGGGTGCCCGGGTGGCTCAGTCGGTTAAGTGTCCGGTTTCGGCTCAGGTCATGACCTCACGGTTCCTGGGTTTGAGCCCTGCGTCGGGCTCAGTGCTGACAGCTAGAAGCCTGAAGCCTGCTTCGGACTCTGTATCTCCCTCTCTCCCACTCACACTCTGTTTCTCTCTCTCTCTCTCAAAAATAAATAAACATTAAAAAAATTTTTTTTAAAGAAATAGTTTTACACCTAAAAATTAAAACTTCGTGTAGAAAACAATAGTAGCACTAGAGGTACTCAAATGCTACCCCAAGAGCTGGGCTGTTAGAGTTTGAACAGTCCAAGCTGAACCAAAATACAAGTTTTTTACAATCACAAATACAAATGGCGAACTACTCCTGAACTCAGAACAAGACATGGAAGAATAAGTTATTTAGGAGTCAGTGAAGGAATTTTTCAGATTAATTAACAAAAACAAAAGAGAGGTAGTTCCTAAACTCTCTCTTACATCAAAAAAAAAAAAAAAAAAAAAAAAAAAAAAAAGTATACAGTGTGCCTGTAACAGCCAAAATCTGACAATGATGCTATTAAAATGCTAAAAAAAAAATCCTGATATGTTAAAATATATAATATTTTAAGTAAATCACTTTCAACCTTTACAACAACTCTCCTGCAGTGTATATTTTTAACCCCTCTTTATCAGTGAGGAAACTAAGGCTCAGAAAAATTGAATAAGAAGGAAAAAAAAGAATTAGTAAAAGCATCTTCCTGGAATAACATGGAAACAACACTAAAAGGGAAACATACTGCAGACATCAAAGTATAAAAATGGCCTCTCACAAGAAGGCAAGACAAGAATATGACCTCAGATTTTCTTCCTTAGACTTCTAGTTTTTGAGAAGGGTACAGAGTCCAAGGGTACAGAGATAAGTTTTCACCAGTTGGACTGAGAAAATAAGTCAATAGCTCCTGTGAGTGGTTAAAAACAACCTGGGGTATTTAGGTGTGGAACCACTCACTGCAAGGGAACAGATTCTAGAGAGACACCTGGGCCTTAAGGACTCCCTTGACAAAGCACTTGTGCCATCTAGTGGCAACCACTAAGCCTTGCAGGCACTGGGTCCCTAAAAACAACCAGCATCTAAGGAGGGAAAGGCAAATAGTGGTTTCCTTTCTGCAGCCAATGGTAATGGATTGGTAGTGACTACCATGGAAACACTGTGTCAAGAAGGATTCTGAGGATACCAGGTGCTCCTCAGAGAAGAACACTGTGACTGATTAAAAATGCTGGCCTTGAGTGTTGAAGTCATTTCTAAGTAAATGAAATCAACTTTTGCAGCAGCAATTGAAGGAGGTCTCTCCTCCAAGAATACCTATTTAGGTAGCTAAGACTCTTGGCAATGTGTTTTTGTTTTTGTTTTTTGATATGGAAATCAACTAGAATATGCAGTGATAAGCTGCATGATCATAAAGAGATCTCTATTTCTAATTATATATATTTATGTAGTATTTTCCCAAGATATGCACATAAAATTGGTATAAAACTAGTTAGTACTTTCTAAATTTAGTTGTTTAAGTACTTTGGTAACCTAAATAATGCATAAATTCCTTGATT